AATTTTGGGTATTCACTTAATTTTGCTAGGTATAGGCGCTTTTCTTCTAGTATTCAAGGCTCTTTATTTTGGGGGCGTATATGATACCTGGGCTCCGGGAGGGGGAGATGTAAGAAAAATTACCAACTTGACTCTTAGCCCAAGTGTTATATTTGGTTATTTACTAAAATCTCCCTTTGGGGGCGAAGGATGGATTGTTAGTGTGGACGATTTGGAAGATATAATTGGAGGGCATGTATGGTTAGGTTCCATTTGTATATTTGGTGGAATCTGGCATATCTTAACCAAACCTTTTGCATGGGCTCGCCGTGCACTTGTATGGTCGGGAGAGGCTTACTTGTCTTATAGTTTAGGTGCTTTATCTGTTTTTGGTTTCATTGCTTGTTGCTTTGTCTGGTTCAATAACACCGCTTATCCTAGTGAGTTTTACGGGCCCACCGGACCAGAAGCTTCTCAAGCTCAAGCATTTACTTTTCTAGTTAGAGACCAACGTCTTGGGGCTAACGTGGGATCCGCTCAAGGGCCTACTGGGTTAGGTAAATATCTAATGCGTTCCCCGACCGGAGAGGTCATTTTTGGAGGGGAAACTATGCGTTTTTGGGATTTGCGCGCTCCTTGGTTAGAACCTCTAAGGGGTCCTAATGGTTTGGACTTGAGTAGGTTGAAAAAAGACATACAACCTTGGCAAGAACGGCGTTCTGCGGAATATATGACCCATGCTCCTTTAGGTTCTTTAAATTCTGTAGGTGGTGTAGCTACCGAGATCAATGCAGTTAATTATGTCTCGCCGAGAAGTTGGTTAGCTACCTCCCATTTTGTTCTAGGATTCTTCCTATTCGTGGGTCATTTATGGCACGCAGGAAGAGCTCGCGCAGCCGCAGCGGGATTTGAAAAAGGAATTGATCGTGATTTGGAGCCTGTTCTTTTCATGACTCCTCTTAACTGAGACAGGAGATCTAATGCTTAAAGTAGGAATCGATTTGATTCCACCATACATATTGAATTGAAGGATTGAATTGAAGGAATCCGGTGACATTTTAAAAGTATTCTGTTTTCCTTTCTTCTCAACTCATTTTATATCTAAACTTTTTTTTCTGGCTCGGCTATTCCACCCTAGCCGAGCCATTCCCTTTTTATTAATTATTAATATTAAGATTCTTAATTTCTTAATTTAATAAGGAAGCCAGGAAAAAGCAATAAATAAAAAATCGATTCATCGAAGCAAAAGGANAGAGAAGGGATTCGAACCCTCGATAGTTCTTTGTTTCGAACTATACCGGTTTTCAAGACCGGAGCTATAACCACTCAGCCATTCATCTCCGAAAGCTAATTTCTATTTTATTTTATTCCACCGAATCGAACAGGCCGTATGAGTTGATACTGTATAGAAAGATATCGTGTGTGAACCTATAGGTCGATCTATTTTATCTGTATATATAGATAGATGAAATGCGTGATCTAGCATGCCTATTAGTTTGTCAACGTGAAATAAAAAAAAT